ACCTTATACATACGTGGCGGATTACCAGATATACCTTATACATACCTGGCGGATTACCATACATACCCTATACATTCGTGGCGGATTACCAGATTACCCCATACATACGTGGCGGATTACCAGATATACCTCTATACATACGTGGCGGATTACCAGATACATACGTGGCGTACCTCATACATACGTGGGGGATTACCAGATATAACCTATACATACGTGGCGGATTACCAGATATACCTTATACATACGTGGCGGATTACCAGATATACGTTATACATACGTGGCGGATTACCAGATATACCTTATACATACGTGGCGGACTACCAGATATACGCTATACATACCTGGCGGAATACCACATATACCTTATACATACGTGGCGGATTACCAGATATACCTTATACATACGTGGCGGATTACCAGATATACCTTATACATACGTGGCGGATTACCAGATATACCTTATACATACGTGGCTGATTACCAGATATACCCTATACATACGTGGGGGATTACCAGATATATCTCATACATACGTGGCGGATTACCAGATATACCCTATACATACGTGGCGGATTACCAGATATACCTTATACATACGTGGCGGATTACCAGATATACGTTATACATACGTGGCGGATTACCAGATATACGTTATACATACGTGGCGGATTACCAGATATACGTTATACATACGTGGCGGATTACCAGATATACGTTATACATACGCGGCGGATTACCAGATATACCCTATACATACGTGGCGGACTACCAGATATACCCTATAGATACGGGACGGATTACCAGATATACCTTATACACACGTGGCGGATTACCAGATATACCTTATACATACGTGGCGGATTACCAGATATACCCTATACATACGTGGCGGATTACCAGATATACCCTATACATACGTGGGGGATTACCAGATATACCTCATACATACGTGGCGGATTACCAGATATACCCTATACATACGTGGCGGATTACCAGATATACCCTCTAGATACGTGGGGGATTACAAAAAGATATACCTTATACACACGTGGCGGATTACCAGATATACGTTATACATACGTGGCGGATTACCAGATATACCTTATACATACGTGGCTGATTACCAGAAATACCCTATCCAGTGGCGGATTACCAGATATACCCTATACATACATGGCGGATTACCAGATATACCTCATACATACGTGGCGGATTACCAGATATACCCTATACATACGTGGCGGACTACCAGATATACCCTATACATACGGGGCGGATTACCAGATATACCTTATACATACGTGGCGGATTACCAGATATACCTTATACATACGTGGCCGATTACCAGATATACCTTATACAGACGTGGCAGATTACCAGATATACCTTATACATACGTGGCTGATTACCAGATGTACCCTATACATACGTGGCGGATTACCAGATATACCTTATACACACGTGGCGGATTACCAGATAGACCCTATACATACGTGGCGGATTACCAGATATACGTTATACATACGTGGCGGATTACCAGATATACCTTATACATACGTGGCGGATTACCAGATATACCTTACCAGATATACATACGTGGCGGATTACCAGATATACCCTATACATACGTGGCGGATTACCAGATATACCTTATACATACGTGGCGGATTACCAGATATACCTTATACATACGTGGCGGATTACCAGATATACCCTATACATACGTGGCGGATTACCAGATATACCTTATACATACGTGGCGGATTACCAGATATACCTTATACATACGTGGCGGATTACCAGATATACCTTATACATACGTGGCGGATTACCAGATATACCTTATACATACGTGGCGGATTACCAGATTACCATATACCCTTATACATACGTGGCGGATTACAGATATACCTTATACATACGTGGCGGATTACCAGATATACCCTATACATACGTGGCGGATTACCAGATATATCTCATACATACGTGGCGGATTACCAGATATACCCTATACATACGTGGCGGATTACCAGATATACCTTATACATACGTGGCGGATTACCAGATATACGTTATACATACGTGGCGGATTACCAGATATACGTTATACATTCGTGGCGGATTACCAGATATACGTTATACATACGTGGCGGATTACCAGATATACGTTATACATACGCGGCGGATTACCAGATATACCCTATACATACGTGGCGGATTACCAGATATACCCTATACATACCTGGCGGATTACCAGATATACCTTATACATACGTGGCGGATTACCAGATATACCTTATACACACGTGGCGGATTACCAGATATACCTTATACATATGTGGCGGATTACCAGATATACCCTATACATACGTGGGGGATTACCAGATATACCCTATACATACGTTGGGGATTACCAGATATACCTCATACATACGTGGCGGATTACCAGATATACCCTATACATACGTGGCGGATTACCAGATATACCTTATACATACGTGGCGGATTACCAGATATACGTTATACATACGTGGCGGATTACCAGATATACGTTATACATACGTGGCGGACTACCAGATATACCCTATACATACGTGGCGGATTACCAGATATACCTTATACATACGTGGCGGATTACCAGATATACCCTATACATACGTGGCGGATTACCAGATATACCTTATACATACGTGGCGGATTACCAGATATACCTTATACATACCTGGCGGATTACCATACATACCCTATACATTCGTGGCGGATTACCAGATATACCTTATACACACGTGGCGGATTACCAGATAAACCCTATACATACGTGGCGGATTACCAGATATACCTTATACACACGTGGCGGATTACCAGATATACCTTATAAATACGTGGCGGATTACCAGATAGACCCTCTACATACGTGGGGGATTACCAGATATACCTTATACACACGTGGCGGATTACCAGATATACCTTATACATACGTGGCGGATTACCAGATATACCCTATACATACGTGGCGGATTACCAGATATACCCTATACATACGTGGCGGATTACCAGATATACCTCATACATACGTGGCGGATTACCAGATATACCCTATACATACGTGGCGGATTACCAGATATACCCTCTAGATACGTGGGGGATTACCAGATATACCTCATACATACGTGGCGGATTACCAGATATACCCTATACATACCTGGCGGATTACCAGATATACCTTATACATACGTGGCGGATTACCAGATATACCTTATACATACGTGGCGGATTACCAGATATACCCTATCCAGTGGCGGATTACCAGATATACGTTATACATACGTGGCGGATTACCAGATATACCTGATACATACGTGGCGGATTACCAGATATACCTTATACATACGTTGCCGATTACCAGATATACCTCATACATACGTGGCGGATTACCAGATATACCCTTTACATACGTGGCGGATTACCAGATATACCCTATACATACGTAGCGGATTACCAGATATACCCTATACATACGTGGCGGATTACCAGATATACCTTATACATACGTGGCGGATTACCATACATACCCTATACATACGTAGCGGATTACCAGATATACGTTATACACACGTGGCGGATTACCAGATATACCCTATACATACGTGGCGGATTACCATACATACCTTATACATACGTGGCGGATTACCATACATCCCCTATTCATAAATGGCAGTGTCATTACTTTGAGCTCAAGTTCTACCTACTTTAGCCAAAGAATGCGACACTTGTTTTCATATCTGTCCTATACAAGACCTTAATGGAAATTGCGGTCTTGGGTATGGGACTGACGTTCTCAGAATTACAGTCGGGGCAGAATAAATGTATATTCAAATTCAAGTATAAATGTTCTTGAAAAGGTACATCTGAAGTTTTTTAAAGTTAGCATCAGGTCTTAAAATGTCTACACCTAACTTTATGGTGTATGGCGAGCTGGTCAGAAAACTGTTAACAATTGCGATAGCAAGAAGAATGATAAACTACTGGCATAAACAAGTGTCAAGAACGGATAAACTATTGTGTGACCTATTAGCTTTTATCACATCAGATGTATGTTCTAACTATCAATCACCTTGGGTTAGCCACATTGAATCAATATTAAATAACTGCGGTCTTTCATATGTATTACTGATGCCAAGCCTATATGACAGACAGTGGTTGATTAGTATGATCGACACGATTCTCAGTGATCACTTTTATCAATCATGGAGCAGTTCAGTTACTAACAGATCAAAAGGCTTTTACTATAAATTTTACAAGAAATTACCTAAATTTGAAAATTACCTTTATCTACCAAAATCCATCTCTTATCCCTTACTTAAATTTAGACCTACAAATCATAAACAAATCACCAACAGAAAACAGAACCTGCAACCTTTGTAATTCATCAGCCATAGCAGACGAACTTCATTACATTTTTCGCTGTACATCACTTGAAAGTCATAGAAAAAAATCTCATACCAATTAGATATATAGAAAATGCCAGCCTCCAATCTTTCAAATTACTCTTTTTCATCCAGTAAAAGAAAAGAACTAAAATCTCTTGCAAAAGTTATAAATATTATTGCAACAAGAGTGTCATAGCCTCTATCGATGATGTTTGTTGTACCCATTATATGTACTGCTATCTTGCACATCATACTGTATTATTATACCTTGTAATTTACTCTGATATCACCTTTGGTGGTCCTACGGAGAATAAAACAATCTGAATCTGTAACCCACTCTCAGTGCGCTGATCATGATCGAGGCAAGGATGGGAAGGTATGGTATATGCAGAAGTTATCAAATCAGGTAACCAAAACGTCCTCCAAGTGCTTGTGCAGTAATTTGCATGACATTGCCAACGATGAGAATCGATAGGTGGCAGCGATTTGGCTGCCTACCTTCCAGCGTCCATCTTATTGAATCGCCTATCGATAAATCACGTGATAGCGAGTGGTCATATAGGCGCTGGTTCCGCGCGACATCAAGCTACAACTGCAAGTGGTTGATACGCTACTGGGATGTCTGTGTATGATGCAGCATGCGGGGGCTACCGTGTGTTTATCGGGGCTCTCGGGGCGGCAACTGGGAAAGGACATTTGATCAAAGATCTCCAAAAGTATGGACAAGTCTTAGACCTCTGGCTTGCCAGGTAAGGCATATTAACAATAACTATCATTTTCAGGTAACTCAAGTAAGGCTCAACCCAGTACGAATGTGCCAAGTCACATGACACGTTGCTTCAGTTGCTCATGTACACTGGAACAGGGAACCTTGTGTTGATGGTTCATAGGAGGGAACGGTCAGTATTTGTATCACTGTCAGATCAAGCTGGGAAGGGTAACGCGTTTGGCTCAAGTAAATACTTTGCCAGTGTTTTGATGTATGACAGTTAAAGAAAAGGAAAGATTCCCTCCTGTATGACATATCCCTTTTTATCTGTCATAGTTCAACATTAACTGGTCCCCACCACTTCATCAACATACTGACTGAGAAAAATACTTCTTTTATTCCATCCCATATGATTTTTACAGATAGTTTCAACGACATTGATTTAAAGCAACATGTGCTGTGCCCTACCGACTTCAGATCAGATACGTGAATCAACACAGCTGCTTCACCACCACATTGTATTGATTGTATGCACTATATGAACAGATTTCAATAGTCAGTTTGGTGGTTGTCACGTGAAAAGTTACAATGTGCATTATCATATTACCCAACATATATCTTTTAATGACCTTACAAGTCTGCTTGTTCACCAATATTCAGTTAGAAGCCGATTCTATGGAATAGGCTACATTCAGTTTACACGATATCTTGTCCTCACTCATGCTACGGGGCGGTGGGGTAGTCTAGTGGTTAAAGCGTTCGCTCGTCACGCCGAAGACCCGGGTTCGATTCCCCACATGGGTACAATGTGTGAAGCCCATTTCTGGTGTCCCCCGCCGTGATATTGCTGGAATATTGCTAAAAGCGGCGTAAACCAAACTCGCTCACTCACTCATTCTACCTATAAGGCAGTGGAGCTGTTAATGCATACGTAAGGGTAAACATTCAATCTAATCACTGAAATAAGGCAAAGTGCTGACAATATAGCATTACAAATAACATTCTCGAATAAAATTATCTAAATATGTAGATATGGAAAGAATATAGAACGGTTTCAAAACCAACCCTTACGCCCCACAGTCGACATATTGTACGCGGACCATGCAAAATCCGCTGCATACATGGCGGATGACGTTAAACACAATGTATCGGGCATGATATATCATGTGAAACCAAGTTATGAGTTTTGAGATTCTTTAAATTATGTAACACTGGCCTGCGGTCTTACATCATCAATGAAATGAATGTATATCTTATCTAAAGAGATGGAACTCTTGAGGTACACCACATGCTTGTCGTATCCCAGGTAGGTTATGCCCAGCTTAAGCACGTTTATCGATAGTCCGTCATTGTGTTCAGCTGAGGAGATATCGCTGGATGGCATTGTAATGAGGCATTATTAGTCGACATATACACAGTGAAGATTCTCTAGCTGACAAAATAACAGACGATTCAAAACATCACTGGACACTGCTATAGACACATTATTCTATTTGTGGTTATGTGAGTGAGTTTAGTTTTACGCCGCGTTTAGCAATATTCCAGCAATATCACGGCGGGGACACCAGAAATGGGCTTCCCGCATTGTACCCATGAGGAGAATCGAAGCCGGGTCCTCGGCGTGACGAGCGAACGCTTTAACCACCAGGCTACCCCAAACACCCCCAAGGGATATGTACAAATATTATATGAAAGACAGGAAAGTTACCATGACGGAAAGTCAAGAAGTATCTACAACAACCAGAGGCGTTTGGCAAGGTAGATAGGTTATGATCAAAATGAACAGCTGGGCCTAGATTTTCGAAGCTCTCTTAGCGCTAAGATAGTCGTAAGTTAATGTTAATGTATGGCACTTACGACTATCCTAGCGCTAAGAGATCTTCAAAAATCTAGGCCCTGTACAGTAAATCTGATAGACAATTCGTGTAATACATCTGTCTGGGTTTTTCTTCACAGAAACCCCCCGGGATATGCGTATGTTGTTTACAGCAAAGCTAGAGAGGCCGAGTCGCTGGTCCGAGAAAGGAACGGCAGGTAAGACACACCGAATGACACTTCTATGTATATTGTTGTGTTGGTGTCCTCACGGTGTGCCTACATACCATTCTGCCTACAGTCTTAAAACAACATATTACAGTCTGTAGGTTCTGCCTACATGCCATTCTGCCTACAGTCTTAAAACAATATATTACAGTCTGTAGGTTCTGCATGCGTAGGCACTTTGACAAATAATAACACCCTTCCTCACCCAATAACGACAAATAGACCAGTCCAGAAACCAGTCTAAAACATATACAGTAGATTCTGTCTATAGACTCTAATCCAACATTGATAAGAATAGACTAAATACACAGTCGTTTTAACAATATTATTTTACTTAATTGATTAAGAATAGCCTAAATAAACACATTTATCAAGCTACAACTGGCTTCTGGGCTTATGAAGGCGTACTGTCAAAAAAAACGGAAAAAAGTCCTTTATAGAATTTGATACAACAATGCTCATGAAAGCAGTACTGTCAAAACAAAAAGTAAAAAGCCTTATATAGAGAGTTAGATACTGTTTCTCAGATAAACTGTACAATGGCAGAGCTTCAGAGAGTAGAGTATATTACTTCTCAGGCCGGGGGTCAGAAGGTTCTCTTTGAAGATTATCGTCAGATATCGTCTGAATAACCGTCGCCAAACTGCCACACACTGGAAATGCATCATTTCTTACTGTAAAGGTCGCCTTACCACAGTAGGTGACTATGTGGGAAATGTATCCCCGCACAGTCACCCCAAGATTGAAGATGCTGGGAGTCTCCGCTTCATGAACCAGTTAAGAAACCGCGCTAGAGAGGAGGTTACTCCCATGCAGCATATTTACAACGAGGATCTGAACGCCCTTGACGACAATAATGAAGCACGTTGCAGCAGATGTTTCCCTAACTTTCCACAACATTAGCCGAAGTGAACATTGATGGTCCTTGGTCCCAGACTAAAAACAGTCAGACCAAGCTACAGTTCCTTGATGCTGCAAGCCACCTCCTCAAGCTCAATCTATATTTTGGGTAGAGATGATGGGTATGAAATGTGTCTTTAAATAATGCTATGTTTGATGCTATTATTATCATCTTAATAAATGATGCACTCTGAATGTTGTTCTTTTTATCAGTTACTTAATTGGATCAGACCATGTAGACATGGGGATGATGAATGTTTTCACTTTCCATTGCCAATGTGCCTACACTCCCTATATATGTTTTAGGACTGTAGGCAGAATGTCATGAAGGCACAATGTGAGTGAACCGTTGTGTTCCCCGTAAGGAACAGTACTCGCTGTGCAGGGTCAACCCTTCGACGCGCACGAAAGCTATGATAGTGGGTTCGAAAGCCGTGCGAGTGTGATTCATAACAAATAGTAAACGCAAAGGAACTGCATCTCATAGGGCTTTCCGCCGGGATTCACCTTCAGCTGACAACACCAGGGCACCTCCTATATATGTCCACGACATGGTCCTCTTGCCACTGTTGGTCCTGTGACCTCCAAAGTTGACCCCTAAACGTGCATATCATTGGGGTTGGGGGGTTGGGGGACCTTGCGCATACCCGCCTCTTTATCCGCCAATGCCCGTTGTGTCCAAGGTCGCCCTCTTTCTCTCTCTCTCTCTCTCTCTCTCTCTCTCTCTCTCTCTCTCTCTCTCTCTCTCTCTCTCTCTCTCTCTCTCTCTCTCTCTCTCTCTCCCCACCCTCTGTGCTAAGTGCCCTCTGACATCTCTGAGTGACGTCACACTTAAAGCTAAGTGCCCCCGACATCTCTGAGGGCCTCAGACGTAGGAGTCAGTGCCCCATGACACCTCTGAGGGGCACAGACGTAGAACAGAGTGCCCCTTAACATATCTGAGTAACGTCACACTTAGTACTAGGTGTCCCCTGACATCTCTGAGGCCCTACACGTAGTACTAAGTGCCCCTTGACATCTCTGAGTGCCGTCAGACGTAGTACTAAGTGCCCCTGACATCTCTGAGAGCCCCACACGTAGTGCTAAGTGCCCCTGACATCTCTGAGGACCCCACACGTAGTGCTAAGTGCCCCTGACATCTCTGAGGGCCCCTGACGTAGTGCCCTAACATCTCCGAGGACCCCACACGTAGTGCTAAGTGGCCCCTGACATCTCTGAGGGTTCCAGACGTAGTGCTAAGTGCCCCTGACATCTCTGAGGACCCCACACGTAGTGCTAAGTGGCCCCTGGCATCTCTGAGGGTTCCAGACGTAGTGCTATGTGACCACTGACATCTCTGAGGACCCCACACGCAGTGCTAAGTGCCCCTGACATCTCTGAGGGCCCCACACGTAGTGCAAAGTGGCCCCTGGCATCTCTGAAGGTTCCAGACGTAGTGCTAAGTGCCCCTGACATCTCTGAGGGCCCCACACGTATTGCCCCTGACATCTCTGAGAACCCCACACGTAGTGCTAAGTGGCCCCTGGCATCTCTGAGGACCCACACGTAGTGCTAAGTGCCCCTGACATCTCTGAGGGCCCCACATATAGGCCTAAGTGCCCCCTGACATCTCTGAGGTCCCCACACGTAGTGCTAAGTGCCCTGATATCTCTGAGGGCCCCACACTTATTGCCCCTGACATCACTGAGGACCCCACACGTAGTGCTAAGTGGCCCCTGACATCTCTGAGGACCCCACACGTAGTTCTAAGTGGCCCCTGGCATCTCTGAGGGCCCCACACATAGTGCTAAGTGCCCCTTGACACCTCTGAGGGCCCCACACGTAGTGCTAAGTGCCCCTGACATCTCTTAGGGCCCCACACGTACTGCTTAGTACCCCTGACATCTCTGAGGACCCCACACGTAGTGCTTAGTGCCCCTGACATCTCTGAGGGGCCAACACGTAGTGCCCCTAACTTCTCTGAAGACCCCACACGTAGAGCTAAGTGGCCCCTGACATCTCTGAGGGTTCCAGACGTAGTGCTAAGTGCCCCTGATATCTCTGAGGGCCCACACGTAGTGTTAAGTGGCCCCTGACATCTCTGAGGGCCCACACGTAGTGCTAAGTGCCCCTGACATCTCTGAGGGCCCCACACGTAGTGCTAAGTCCCCCTGACATCTCTGAGGGCCCACACGTAGTGATGAGTGGCCCCTGACATCTCTGAGGGCCCCACACGTTTTCCCTCTGACATCTCTGACGACCCCACACGTAGTGCTAGGTGGCACCTGACATCTCTGAGGACCCCACACGTAGTGCTAAGTGGCCCCTGGGATCTCTGAGGGCCCCACACGTAGTGCTAAGTGCCCCTAACATCTCTGAGGGTTCCACACGTAGTGCTCAGTGCCTTGACATCTCTGAGGGCCCCACACTTAGTGCCAAGTGCCCCTGACGTCTCTGAGGACCCCACACATAGTGCTAAGTGCCCCTGACATCTCTGAGGGCCCACACGTAGTGCTAAGTGCCCCTGGCATCTCTGATGACCCCACACGTAGTGCTAAGTGGCCCCTGGCATCTCTGAGGGCCCCACACATAGTGCTAAGTGCCCCTGACATCTCTGAGGGCCCCACACGTAGTGCTAAGTACCCCTGACATCTCTGAGGACCCCACACGTAGTGCTAAGTGCCACTGACATCTCTGAGGGGCCCACACGTAGTGCCCCTAACTTCTCTGAGGACCCCACACGTAGTGCTAAGTGGCCCCTGACATCTCTGAGGGTTCCAGACGTAGTGCTAACTGCCCCTGACATCTCTGAGGGTTCCACACGTAGTGCTAAGTGTCCCTGACATCTCTGAGGACACCACACGAAGTGCCAAGTGGCCCCTAGCATATCTGAGGGTTCCAGACGTAGTGCTCAGTGCCCCTGACATCTCTGAGGACACCACACGAAGTGCCAAGTGGCCCCTGGCATCTCTGAGGGTTTTAGCCTTATTGCTAAGTGCCCCTGACATCTTTGAGGACCCCACACGTAGTGCCAAGTGGCCCCTGGCATCTCTGAGGACCCCACACGTAGTGTTAAGTGCCCCTGACATCTCTGAGAGCCCACACGTAGTGCTAAGTGCCGCTGACATCTCTGAGTGCCGTCAGACGTAGTACTAAGTGCCCCTGAGATCTCTGAGAGCCCCACACGTAGTGCTAAGTGCCCCTTGACATCTCTGAGTGCCGTCAGACGTAGTACTAAGTGCCCCTGACATCTCTGAGAGCCCCACACGTAGTGCTAAGTGCCCCTGACATCTCTGAGGACCCCACACGTAGTGCTAAGTGCCCCTGACATCTCTGAGTGCAGTCAGACGTAGTACTAAGTGCCCCTGACATCTCTGAGAGCCCCACACGTAGTGCTAAGTGCCCCTGACATCTCTGAGGGCCCCTGACGTAGTGCCCTAACATCTCCGAGGACCCCACACGTAGTGCTAAGTGGCCCCTGACATCTCTGAGGGTTCCAGACGTAGTGCTAAATGCCCCTGACATCTCTGAGGACCCCACACGTAGTGCTAAGTGGCCCCTGGCATCTCTGAGGGTTCCAGACGTAGTGCTATGTGACCACTGACATCTCTGAGGACCCCACACGTAGTGCTAAGTGCCCCTGACATCTCTGAGGGCCCCACACGTAGTGCAAAGTGGCCCCTGGCATCTCTGAAGGTTCCAGACGTAGTGCTAAGTGCCCCTGACATCTCTGAGGGCCCCACACGTATTGCCCCTGACATCTCTGAGGACCCCACACGTAGTGCTAAGTGCCCCTGACATCTCTGAGGGCCCCACATGTAGGCCTAAGTGCCCCCTGGCATCCCTGAGTGTTCCACACGTAGTGCTAAGTGCCCCCTGACATCTCTGAGGTCCCCACACGTACTGCTAAGTGCCCTGATATCTCTGAGGGCCCCACACTTATTGCCCCTGACATCTCTGAGGACCCCACACGTAGTGCTAAGTGGCCCCTGACATCTCTGAGGACCCCACACGTAGTGCTAAGTGGCCCTGACATCTCTTAGGGCCCCACACGTACTGCTTAGTACCCCTGACATCTCTGAGGACCCCACACGTAGTGCTAAGTGCACCTG